CCCAAATGGGGTCATGAAGAGTCGGACGTGACTGAAAAAAGTGAACAACACACTATATAGGCAATTAATTTTTTTTGCATTAAATTATTGACTCAAAATGAGGAAATTGAGTCTAAGGGTGAAGTGAAATTCATACTCATGGTAGTTAATGGGAGACAGAACTAGGATTAAAAACTAAGGGGTTTGACTTAGTCCAGTGATCTGCCCACTATACCCTAGATTTTATCTTCTAATAAAAGAGAAAAGCACAGTCTAACAAATTAACAAAAGGGAAAAATACTAAAGAACACACTCACTGTTTAAAAAAAAGAATTCGCTATTGAAGAGGTAGGTGAAAAGCAGTATATATAAATATATATATATATATATATATATATATTACATGAAAAAAGCCCTTTCACAAACCCATGGGACAACAAAAGATGCCACACTTTTCTTTACTGTTATTTAAAATAATGCCTAGAAGTTTTAAAAGCATTTTTGTATTTTAATTTTTTTTTAAATCTAATTTTTGTTACCTCTGATTCTTTTAGGCTTAAGGCATCACACTGAGATTCTGTGCTATTGTGTAATATCAAAGAGATGCTTTCCTTAAGCATTTCTATGCCTTATAGTGACACTAGTCATTAACAAGTGTTCTCAACAGTTGCAGAAGTGACATAATGTGACAGGGCTATGTTAAGAGGATATATGCACATGTGTTCACACATATCATGGCATTAGGCAGATAGAGCAGGTGCACCCAAGCCTCAACCTAGATATAGCCAATCTCAACCTCATAGTTACTGTCTGAAACCCTGGAATCCTCCCTTGCCTCCCTCAGCCTGACAGAGCTGATCCTTCTCTGCAGATGCTAGTCCAATTCTGAATGACAGATGAGCATGGGAAAAACATGAGATCCAATCATTGAGTTTAAAATTACAGATCAACTTTGTCCCAACTCTAAACAGAAGTACATTTTCCCCAGGATAAAAATGACTTTCTTTCTCTCTCTCTCTCTCTCTCTCTCTCTCTCTCTCTCTCTCTCTCTCTCCCCCTTTCTATTCATCCCTCTCCTTTTCTCCTTCTCTCTCACATCTCCTCCTTTCTTTCCTCTCTCCCTTCCCCCACATAAAAATAACTCACTCAGAAAGCATAATTTATGAGAGGAAGTTTCATGTAGACATCTTTCTCATTGCCTCCACACCACATCCCTGGGAATAGTGTTAACTCTTTTAAGATTCCTTTACTCTGTTTCAATAATTAGCTACCAGGCTGGAATTTCAGAAAGAATTAATAGAACAAGGCCATTACTGCCTAGCCCTTTGCTAGGGGGCACTGTATTTTCAGGGTTCTTTGGAGGAGTAAAAAGGAAATAACAAGCTCTCCTAGGAGCCCCCTTGTTTCTTTATTGGTTCATCTTTAGGAAAGTAATCTTGCAGGAGAGTGACTTAATTTAGGACCATACAGATTCTTTGATGAACAAGATCTTAAAAGTGGGGCTACTCCTCACCTGACTTCTTAACAGGATTTCCTTGTCTTCACAAAACAAGATGGGTAAATTTCCATGATGCCAAGGACATTAGCCAGAATTACCAGTGGCAGCAAGTCATTCTCCCTCCCTTCTCCTAGTAAAAGGCAAAAATGAAACGAAAGATTCATAGGAAATGCTTGATTGCCCTCCAATGTAGCTTGACCAGACTGCTTTGGCTATTGAACTGAAGGGCTATACCAACAGTTATGGTGCCGATCTCAGGTCAGACCAAAATATATTAAGAGAGGAAGAAACAACAACCTGTTTACATACCGTGAATGGCAGAGCAATGTAAGCCCTGCCTAAGATTCCTTTCTAAATGGCAATCATATGCTAGTCATACCAAACCATGTAGCAACTCTACTATAATAATGCTTTCTAGGGTAATGACTAATGCTGGATATGACAGAGATAATCTTGTGTTCACTCTGTAGATTGTAATTAAATATAGTAACAATTGTAATAATAACCAATATTCACATAAAGCACTTTAAGGTCTAGAAAGCACTGCCAAGACATTATAATAATAAGAGCTAGTATTTATATACAACACTTTAAGATTAATAAAGTGCTTTATATATATACTGTTTCATTTGATCCTCACAGCAATCCTCTGAAGCTGATGCGATTTGCCCCATTTTACAGATGAAGAAAGTGAGGCTGAAAGAGACTTTTACAAGATCACACAGCTATTAAATGTTTGAGGTAGGATTTGAACTCAGGTCTTCCTGATTCTGAGTCCAAGGCTCTATCTGGAATTCTGTGAAATAGGTACTAGTACTAGGCCATTATATAGATAAGGAATCTGAGGCTCAGATAGGTAAAGCTCATGATCACATAGCTAGTAAGTGTTATAGCAAGGATCAAAGGTTTTCCTTAAATCAAGGTCCCTCCTCTCTTCACTCCAATATTTTAAAACAATTCTAAAGCATGATCACCAGGCATTTTCCAAGAAGTCAAAGCCAATAGCTTGTTAATTACAAGCACATATAATTTTTTTTCAGCCAAACCAGTCAATACAACATTACTCCGCTCATCCAAGAGCAGGAGAGGTTGTGGACTCACTATTAAGTAAGTTCTGTGACCAGGGAAGGAGGTGAGGAAAATGAAAGCATATTTACTCCTCACCCTTGAACAGCAAAGGAAGATATTTAAATTCAGGGTTGACTAAGGACCCTTTGCCTAGTTGGCAGCAAGGTCAGGCTACTCTGAGAGCAGTTGGACATTTGCAAGATGGCATGTGTGTATGTGTGTATTTGTATGTATGTGTGGAGGAGGGGGCTGGATAGTCTACAGTAGCTGTTTGTATTTTTTCAAATTAAAGAGAAGAATAGTGAAGATCTTGTCGCCAACCTATGAAACAGTGCTCTGTGGAAGGGCATCATAGGAATTTGCCCAGCTCTGCTTTGTGGAAGTTTATCCCATTCTAAATAGCCTCACTTCAGAATGAATATCCTCACTGATCTGGAGGTTAAAAAAAAAGTTGAAGGCCTCTTTTATTAATACTCTTGATGAGACTGAAGTCAAAGTACAAGGTCCCTCAGCAGAGTGATAGTGGCTAGAACAAAAATCTCAAAGATCCCAGTTCAAGATTGCCCAGAGTTCCAGGTTTAGAGACTGTGCCTGAAATAACACTAGCTCATCACACCTGATGACTGCTTGGGTCTGTTTGTGATGAGTGCTTACACTCTCTATTTCTGTCTTTTCCAACAAGTGAAACAGATGTGCTCTGTATCAGTCCTCGACTCTGCATCTGTTCTGTGATGCAGAGCTATTTATTGTTTGCTTGTCAAAGAAACAAGGTCTGACAACCATTTAAACAGCAAACATTTCTCAGTACCAGCCTTAACACGGTTTGGGAGTTTTCAAATGAGATGGTCACCAGCCACCCTTTTTCTTTTAAAAAAATAAGTAAGCAGCCCCCCTCCCCCTCCCAACTATTACCTCCAACTGCACCACAAGCATAACTGAGTCTTAAAATTATAATGTCAAACCAACAGAAAACAAGTTTGTTCGGTTTTTTTCCCCTCCTCACTTCTTCCCTCTGCAATGTAATTACAAATCTCTCTCCAAAAGAACTATTTCACTGTTAAGTTTGGGCTTAAAAAAAATAAGGTTAAGTTCAGGCAATTAAATTATGTTTTTTTTTTCTTTACATGATAGGAAAAAACCTAGCCAAACTCCCAAA